TTGTTTGGGCACTCCAACCCGGCTGTTACCACTGGAGGAGGCAGTGACCTCCCAAACCCGGGGGTCAGCAGGTGTGAGAGAAGCTCTGGCATGTTTTTACCTCYTGAAAGAGCAGTGAAACCTGTAGTGTAAGCATCACTTGCCTTTTCCTGTAAATAGAGGTGGATTTTTCCATAAGATAGGGTGGTGGCAGGTGAGCTGGCTGCTCTTGCTGCCCTCCTTGAGTCAGCTGCTGTGGGCTCTCCCCTCACCCACCATCCTCCAGCACGTGACAAAGGGCAGCACCACTTCCATCAGCAACACGAGTGTGGGTTGGTGCCTGTGCTTCTTTTTTTTTTTCTTCCCCAAAGGGAATTTATTGCTTTCATAAGGCAGCTTTCTGGACTGAAGTCCTCCYTTTATCTGCAGAGCCACCACAGCTGATTGTACCCAGTACTTTTCCTGCCGGTGCCCCACGAGGAGGGGGAGCTGCTCAGCTGGGGACAGCTGGGTCCCAGGGGTGTCATTAGGCTGTGACTCAGCTGTCAGGAGGTGTGGGCAGTGCCCAGGGGCTGCTGAGCCAGGAGCCTGTGGTGTTTCTCCCAATGGCTGAACCAGAGGCCTGCTTCAGAACCTGATGTACCTCACCAGGGAATTTCTTAACGTGTGCTGCTCCATGATGGGCCTGCTGGAAGGTGGAAGGTGATCCCTCACGCTCCCTGCAGTTCTCCATGCCTGGGCAGCCTTTGGCCTTGTGCTGGAATGGTCTCTCCATGCACAGGTCAGCATGGGAGCCATGCTGGCCTCCCGCCCCTTGGCCTCCTGTCCCTCGGCCTCCTGTCCCTCAGCCTGGTGATGCTTGAAAAAGGCTTGGAAATAAAACCCCATAGACCGGTGTCTATAGAGCAGGTATTTGTTTATTGCAGCGCTGGAGCTAAGGGGGATTTCTCCTCCTAACTCACCCGCCTTTGCTTTAAATTAGCACATATTAATACTGTAAGCATGGTGTAACATGAACATTGTCACTGCCCCCCATAGGCCCACCATACACCCACCACCATCCATGGGCACAGAAATACACAATATCACAGTTTTCTAAGTGCACATGTGTCATCTTTAATTCAGTGGTTGTGGGGGTCTCCCTCTAATGAGATATCATCCTCTTCATTACGGTGAGCTTTTAACCTTTGTCTACAGGGTATGCGTAGTGGTGACGTTCATGCTTTTTTTCTTTTCTTCTAAGTCTTCATTTTCAATTATTTTGCTGACTGTCTCGTGCCTCTGCCAAGTTCTCATTAGTGCTTTCTACTGCTCCTTGTTTATAGCATCTACCTGTCTACTTTCTTCAGAACTTTTTCTGATTTATGCCCCTTGTTGATTTCACATATCTGTGTACTAATCCAGCTGGTTAGATTACGTGCAGCTGGTATACTATATGTTGCTAAACACTATTAAAAAACTTACAGCAGTATATAAAAAAGCTATTACTGATAACATATTGAAAGTGATTACMTTGTATTTTAATATGTAAAAAGTTATTACATTCTTATATTGATAACGTACAAAAAGGTTATAGAAAGTTTTCAATTAATAGGCTGCATAAGCACTTTGTCACTTTAGGTATCATTGGGACAGCAGGAACCCCCTCTCTTCCCCTCTGTGGAAAGGCAAGGCCGCGATCTGCACTCAGCCTTTCAGGTGTCACACAAGAAGTGATACCCTAGGATTTTAGCTTCTATATTTTTCATGTCTCTGTAACCCTGTAATTCTTTAGTATTTAACTCCAGACTCCACAGACAGTTCCAAGCTCCTGCTCCCCCATTTTTAGTCAAAACAATTCCTCTCCAGGCCTCAAACTCAAGGACACCTCACTGTGCCAGGCCCCAAGAGATGGAAACAACAGAGAATTGGGGGGAGCAAACTTGGAGTGAATGACTGCATTGGCTGCAGCTGCAATTGGAGGATTCAGCCCCAATGTGCAAATGGACAAAAGTGAGAAAGGGTGAAAAACCTGTGAGCCATTGTCCATTGTGGGTGYAGCCCCTGGGTGGGCTGGGACTGCCCTGAATGTACCTGAAGGCCCTGCAATGCAGGGAACTGCTTTTTATTCTCTGAATTTTTGTCTGGCCTTTGTTTTAGGTAAGCAGGGATAAGGCATCAGAAGGATGTGCAAGATRAAGCCACCCCATGGTGCTGGAACAGGAGTGAGAAGACAAAGCTGAGGACAGAGCACTCTGTGTGTGRGGAGTGCCTGAACACTCCATGAGAGCAAGGAGTCCATGCTGGTAGGGCTGGCCTCTCTCTGGAGCCATGGAAACAACTGCAGTCTCACACTGAGAGCGAGGGCTCTTCTGCACAAATTTCTTACAGTCTAACACACCTATCAACTTGAACTGGCATTTAAAAAAAAAACAACAAACACCCCAGAGCCATTTTGCAATCAAACAGCTTTTATTGAACTTTTTGTATTGTACATTTGTGAATATCTGTGCAATAAATACAGCTCATAGTGTTGATTTTTCCCAGCTCCTTGAAGCATAAGAAGTCTTCCCTTTCCCTTAGTTGACACTCCACAGTAAAAAAAGCTGTTCGATGACAGGGCAATGTCAGGAAGCTCCTGCCAGTGAGCCTTGTGTGAGATTTGTAAAAGCAAGMAGGAGTTTTCAGAAATTAGTTTAGTGGGCAGATGAGACTGGTCTGGCTGTTTAGAGGTACCTCTGCTAGCYAGAGCTCTGGAGTCAGCCACAGTTATTGCAAGAAATGGGAGATAACATTGGACATAACAATATAAAAACGATCCTTAAGTCATTGCCTGGTAACTGCTTGCAAAATATCGTACAGATTTTACTGAATAGTTGACTTCAGGTGAGAAAATAAAAAGTATTTTTGCAGAGCTAGCATTAAGACTGATATTCTCTTAGTGACAAAAAAAATACASCATAAATTGTTGATAAAAATATCCATGTGCAAAATAGTTTCCAGGTTAAGTCAGCGCTTGCATAAGCAGCACAGGTAAACAGAAGATGCAGGCACCCACTTCAGAAAAAAAAAATACAGTTCAGTTGAGGCTCTGGCCTTCAGGTTAAAGTTGAACAAACTGCAGTATCTTTCTTGGTCTTCAGAGCATTTGAAACAAAGATGAGCCCAGTTTTAATGCAGCCCTACCACACCAAACCAGGACCAGGCCAGCAATGAGGTCCTCAGACACGCAAAAAGGCATCACATTTACAAGCTTTTGCAGAGGAACTTCACYCCTGTTCCCTTCTCTTTGCTGTCTTCATCCCTGCCATGGAAAAGAGCTCTGGAAAGTTTTTGATTTGTGCAGCAATTAATTTTATTTACCCAATTCCTCTGGTCTCACCGGGTTGCTGCTGTGAATAAAAGGGACTGGCGGCTGCCTTTTCCTCCCCCTGACAGAGCAGAACCAGAGACAGCTCCTGTCCTTAACAAACCCAGGGAAGCAGGGGAATTTCTTTGCATCCCTTGGTTTACTTGGAATGCTTTAGACCCCCATTCCCTCTTCTCTAYGATTTCTAGCCACCCTCTTTTATTTCTCAGTCCATAATACTTCCAGTTTTCATGGCACTACAGAGATTAATGTATGAACAGTGAACTAGAAAAACMGATTTAAATGTTTACACTTCTTTATAATTGA